TGTTTGCCGAGGTGTTGTGTTATGTGTAGTGACCAGCCGGGTCGTTACATCTTCTGCCTAAACAACAATCCCATATCTCTTTTTCTTTTACTTTTATATATAATAATAATTATTATTATGTATTAATATTCTTTTTCTCAAACGCAACTAATGTCATACGCCAAATCTATGTTTTAATCACTTCTTCCCTTTATGTAATAAAAACAAAGTAACTTTTCCCTTTTTATGAAATTTATCATAAATCATAAATTTGCGACTATATTGGTCCTCATGATGAAATTCACTTGTGATTTTATTTTTTCTATAAAGTTTCAACAAATGATAGAAAGTGTGTTAGTAAAAGTACGTTGTTAAAGCTCTCCATTATTTATATATATTTTTAATATATTATTCATTACTTAAACATTTTATGCAGGGACGGGTCGATGACTAAAGGGAAGTAAGATTTTTTTATTAATAAATATGAAATTATAATTATTAAATGCATCTTGTTTATCTAACTTACAAATATAATTTTTTACCATAAAATCATTGATAATATAGAATATATATTAATTTTTAAATAATTTTTCAGTATAATCATATATTTAAATGATAAATATATTATATTATATTATAATCTTTTTAAAAGACCGGAGGGAGGGAAGGGGGTAAGGCCCTTGCTTGCCTCCTGCCTTAAATTCGTCACTGATCTTATCTTATAAAATGGATAACTTTTATATAAATTTTTATGCAATAATTTATCATAATTTCCGTAAATAAAAATTGTTCTTCGTAAAAATAATATCATTGTAAAAATTATTCATGATATTTAATATTGTCTCATTAAAAATAATTATTAATTATTCCTATAACGCTTATGTTAATTGAACTTAAAGGATTTATGGATGGACTTTCTTTTATGATCTCCTATATTTTGTTCTAAGGAGTTGAGGAAGTAAAAGTTTTCCTTTTTTTCTTTTTCCTAAAATCCTTCTTCTACGTGTGTAGTTGTCCATTAGTCATGAGAAGTTTCAAGTAGTTGTTTTGCGGATTAGGTTTGAAGTTATATGGAGTTTCTTTTTTTCCTTATTTCATTGGCAAATTTTGGTTCTTTAAGGAGGAAAGGGAAGCTTGCAATGTGTTTTGTGTCATGTGCATGTGATTAGGGTAGTCTAAGAGTACTAATTTTGTATTATGTTGTTGATTTTTTGGTGGGTGAGTTGTGGGGTATGGGAATTCTTTAAGCTAGGCATTTTTGCTCAATCCTTGATATAGGTTTGCGCATGTTGCTTTTGTTTGTGAAACCTTGAAGTTTATTTATTGTATAATTGTTGTATGTTGCAAAATGTTGGTTGTTGAGTGCAAGATTTTTGGTTAAATTAGTTTTGTACAAGTACAAAATTGATATTTTTTTAAGAGGGCTTCAATGTAAGGAGAACAATCGATCAATGATGTGCTTTCAAAAAGGATTTGAGTGTGCGGTTAGAAGACGTGAAGATACAGATGATCACGTATTTTTCACATAGAGTTTAGACATGTCCGAGTAAACATAAAATTTTTAATATTATATTAGTTAATGAGTAAACTGATGTAGAAGACTCCCTATTTATATTGTTTATCCTTAAAATCAATGTAAATATGTTTATATTTTATATTTAATTACAAAAAATGCTACTACATTTTATTTCTATATTATTTTTATTCCAACCGATGTACAAATGACGTTATGAATCAATACTTTTATAGTAATTTTGAGAAAAAATCATAGATAAAAGATCATTTATTATTCATAATCAGTTACACGTATTCTTTAATTTTCTATTAATTTTTTTAGGGGTAATCCTCTATTAATAAATTATGTAATAACTGAGATTTGATTACATAATAAATTGAATAAATTATGTAAAGCACTAAGCATACATAGTTATCGAATCCATGACTTATATGTTAAATAATAATAATAATAATAATAATAATAATAATAATAATAATAATAATAATAATAATAATGTCTTGACGAAAAATTTTAATTTCTAACATACCATATTAAATATAGATAATATTATCAATAATTCTGAGAAGACGCAAAGGAGACTAGTTTATTTCTTCATTTTGGGAGATATATTGAATAAAAAAATTATAGTAGTTAGTTGTAAATTGTATTACCAGATATGATTGGAAATATACTCAGTTAATTATAAATAACATTAAAAATTTATATTTCAAATGTGATAAGTATTAATCTAATATTCTAATTGATGATTTTGGGAATTTTTTGAATTTTTAATATTACAAACATGTCTCACACAGTATAAAATGAAGAATATTTTTTTTATTTGATTATAAATGTAAAATAACTTCTTTTATAAACTTAACTACAATTTCAAATTAATCAGAACAAAATAAAAATTTTATGGTGAATGAATCATAATATCACGAGTTTGATTAAACAATTAATTCGTACATCACCCACGTCGTCCATCTAATTTCATATAAGTCTAAAATTTCTTTACATTGATAGCCATTAAAATTTAACTATTTAACCATATCTACATGTTTATTAAAAGATTATAAAAAGTTGCTTGATGAATCGCGTATAAAGACTTTTTTTTTAAGTTTCATTTTCCTTGTGTCATAATATTGTAACTCAAATCTTGTTAACCTTAATTTTCTTCTTTCTCTTCATCCATTTCATTTATAATTTATTTTCAAAAACCTTTCCTAGGTCACTGTGCTTTGTTCGTCACTGGTTTTGCAAGATTAACTATGACAATTTAAATTTACCAGTAATAATAGTTGTGGCAATTTGTTGATGAAAACGAAAAGCTTAAGGTACAAGAGGAGGAAAGCAATTTGTTGCTGTGACGATTTGTTGATGAAATTTACATGAAAGAATAAAAAGTTGTGATTTACGAAAAATTAGTTATAAAGATAAAATTGAATATAAAATATATTCAGAAAATCTTTATTATAGTTATAGGTAAAAACATAAAAGCTAAACATACCATAAACTAATTTAATTCCATTAAATTATGTGAAATAATACGAAGATGGACCCGAAGTTAAGTTTTAGAAATTATGTTTACATCATAACTTGAACTAGTGTTATGTAATTTGGTAGCTATAGGATAAAATATAGTAATATGAAGATACAAGTTTCAGAATCCACACACAGTAACGAAGTAGTAAGAAAAAAATTATTGGGTAGGATTAGGGTTTAGGGATATGAAATTTTTTTAGTTTAAATAATCTTTAATTAAGAAAAATGAAAGGAAAAAATTATGTAAAAAAATTTAAGAGTGATTGGTGTTGTTATCACAAGTAAAGTTTTACTCCAATAATATGTAGATACATTTAATGCATGTATATTATCGGATAAAATTCTAATTATAATTAAACATTAACAACTTCACACACATTTATACTTAAGTTTTATATATCCAAAATAAAATGGCAGGAGAGAATAACTTGGTGTGAATTTGAATAAATTAGAAAAAAGTGTAAAGAGAAGTTATGTTTTGTTTTAGCATTTCACAAGAAGCTAGTGAGGTGAATTTTGTCCCCTGATCAAAACGTTGAAAACAAAATCTCAGAAAAAAAAAATGAAAGAAGAAAAGATTATAATTTGATGAGGCAAAAAGTGTAGTTCTAGGTAGGCCCAGTGGTGGCTGATGAATGAGGATGACGAGGGTGTAACTGGTGGAGGGCTCTAGAGACTAGAATTGTTAAAGTACAATTTTGCTTCTCACCATCTCATCCACTTTATGCCACATATCACCCATATATATCTATTTGCTGCAAAAAAAATAAATAAATCTATATATTAACTTAATTTCTCAAATCATAAATATTATTTTATTTAATTCTTAATATTATAAAAATATTTCAATTCTTTAAATTTCTAAACGTCAATTATTTTAATTCTTATTTTTCTATGCTTTTATAAATTTTTTTATAAATAATTTTGAAAGACTAAATTAGTCAAAGATGATAATTTCTTAATATTTTAATTTATAATATAATTTTAGACTCACAACCAAATCAAATTACACCTAGTTGTACCAATTTTCGCAGTCATGCTAAATGAGATTTTTTTTACGTAAATAGAATTTTTTTACAAATAAATTATCAAAAAGGCATATGTTACACTTTATTTATATATCTAACACTATTCACTATTCACATTCAGAATTCGGTTCCCGGGTTTAAATTCTGAGTAGTTTTAAATTTTTTTTAACGCTATTGTGATCCAGTTTGCACAAATCTTGGAAGTGACACGGCTCGTTCCGGAAGCAGAACGAGACCGTTCCACTTCTAAAATTCGCGCAAACTAAGCCACAAACAAAAAAAAAATTTAAAAAAAATTCAGAATTCAGTTATCTGGGAATCGAATTTTGATAAAAAAAAAAAAAGAATTTTAAAACTCAGAATTCGGTTCCAGAACTGAATTATGAGTATAAACATGGTGATAGATGTGTAAATAAAGTGTAACATATACCTTTTTGGTAATTTTTTTTAAAAAAATTTATATTTACGTAAAAAAATTCGCTAAATGATTGTACGAGTTGAATTGTCAAAGAACAAATTTGCTTCTTTTATGGACTAATTTGTCATTCATCTTAGATACAAGGAATAATTGTATTTACACACTTCAGAGTTCAGATGTAATGCAATTAAGCTCGACATTTTTATTATTTTTAGCTCCTTCAATTTACATTATTGCGTAAAAAATGAGAGAAGAAAGCGGTAATTAGAAAAAAAGATAAATAATATTATATTATTATGTGAAAATTATCTAAAAAAAATTAATAATGCAAATTATAATTTTGTTAGGGTATTTATTAAAGATTCAATATATAAAAAATCATTAAAAATTAGAAAAGTCACGTCTTAATAATATTTTTCAGAAATTTATCAACTAGTATTTTAATAATATTTTAAAAACATTAATTAAAAAGAAATAGAAAAATTACACACCTTATCTCACTCGTGTCGTGTGTAAGCATTTTCATCAAAATTTATAATTACACCTCGTTTATCACTTCGCTGGAACCTAACGTAAACAGTATGCTGAATTCAACACCAGTGTTCCGAATTCCGGTAGTATAAATTCAGATGCGCACGTAAACCATACCACAACTCACACAAAGTCCAATCGAATTCGATTCAAGTCTCACACGAAAGCTCAAAAGCAGAAACACTCACCGGCGATGGAGATCGACGGCAACACGCTCGCGGCGAGGTCGCTGGCTCGCTTCGGCGTGCGTCACATGTTCGGCGTGGTCGGAATCCCGGTGACGTCGCTGGCGAACCGCGCCGTGTCCCTCGGCATCCGCTTCATCGCGTTCCACAACGAGCAGTCGGCGGGTTACGCCGCCTCCGCGTACGGCTACCTCACCGGCCGCCCCGGCGTCTTCCTCACCGTCTCCGGCCCCGGCTGCGTCCACGGCCTCGCCGGCCTCTCCAACGCCGCCGTCAACACGTGGCCCGCCGTCATGATCTCCGGCTCCTGCGACCAGGCCGACGCCGGCCGCGGCGACTTCCAGGAACTCGACCAGATCGAAGCCACCAAACCCTTCTCCAAGCTCTCCGTCAAAGCAACTAACATTTCCGAAATTCCCTCCTGCGTGGGCCGGGTCCTGGATTGGGCCCTATCGGGCCGGCCCGGTGGATGCTACTTGGATCTCCCCACCGACGTGTTGCATCAGAAAGTGTCGGAATCTCACGCCGAGAGACTCTTACTCGAGGCAGAGAAGAACCGCAATAGAATCGAGCCTTCGGTTATTTCCAATTCGAAGATCGAGGAAGCTGTTTCTCTTCTCAGACACGCGGAGAGGCCGTTGATTGTGTTTGGGAAAGGCGCGGCGTACGCACGTGCGGAGCACGCGCTCACGAAGCTCGTTGAAGCGACTGGGATTCCGTTTCTCCCCACTCCGATGGGGAAGGGTTTGTTGCCGGATACTCACGCGCTTGCCGCCACTGCTGCTAGGTCACTCGCGATTGGGAAGTGTGACGTGGCGCTTGTGGTTGGGGCGAGGCTGAATTGGCTTCTCCACTTCGGGGAGCCACCGAAGTGGTCGAAGGATGTAAAGTTTATCTTAGTTGACGTGAGTGAGGATGAAATTGAATTGAGGAAGCCTCATTTGGGTTTGGTGGGTGATGCTAAACACGTGATTGAGGTTTTGAATAAGGAGATTAAAGATGACCCGTTTTGCTTGGGGAGCACGCATCCCTGGGTGCAGGCGATTTCTAACAAGGCTAAGGAGAATTTTGCCAAGATGGAGGTTCAGCTCGCGAAGGATGTTGTGCCGTTTAATTTCTTGACGCCTTTGAGGATTATAAGGGATGCTATTAAGGCTTTGGGAAGTCCTGCCCCTATTGTGGTTTCTGAAGGGGCCAACACCATGGATGTGGGGAGGGCTGTGTTGGTTCAGACCGAGCCCCGGACAAGGTTGGATGCCGGCACGTGGGGGACCATGGGGGTTGGGCTTGGTTATTGCATTGCTGCCGCCGTTGCTTCGCCGGAGCGGCTTGTGGTTGCTGTTGAAGGGGATTCTGGATTTGGATTTAGTGCGATGGAAGTTGAGGTACATTCTTGACTCATGTCTCCTGCATTATGCTTAATAACTACTTAGCTCTTCTTATGCAACAAATGTGTTGTGCCATTAGACCAGTTTGGATAAGTTTCTTCATAAACACTTCTAGAAGAGAAAAATAAGAAGGAAAACTGAAATAGCTTATGCATAAGTTAAAAATAAGATTTTAGAAAAGCTAATAGAGAGAGTTTCTATAAGTTAGTTTAGTCTTGGAACTGACTTGACATATTTGCCTTCTATAAGTGGTTCAGCATGCATTGGGCCTAACAATAGAGTATCTCAGTGCCCATTTCCTATGTGGACGAGAGAGTGAAAACCCAAATGGATGAGAGCATCTCAGCAGTCAGCAGACATTGGCTTGCTTAACAGTAGTATCTCAGTAGTGTGCTATATGTAGACTTTTGGCTTCTTATAAGAACTTCTAAACTAGTTTTTGGCTTTTTGCAGTTCTTGTTTGTTGTAATTCCGAAGATTTGCTGTTGGTCTTATCTTTTCCCAAATACTTGAGAAATTTTATTTCTTGTTCTAGTTTGAATTGGGAAATAAGTTTCTTCAACTTTGAAATGGTAGTGCTTGTGAATTTTAGTTGATCTAGATGAGGATTTCTTGTTTGAATAACTTTGAATAATAAAGAAATAATTCAATTTTGTTAAAACCATATATTTTTTGTTTAAAAGTTGTCTTTATTCTTATTATTAAAATATCTCTATATCATATGTGTATGTAGATTCTCTCAAATCTCAGTTAATATGACCATGTGATTCCATATGTTTTTGCTTTCATTTGCTGTTACTCTGCAATTTATTTTCTGAATACAAGCATGAAATGTAATTATTTATCTTTTCTCCAGACATTGGTTCGGTACCAGCTGCCTGTGGTTGTGATTGTTTTCAACAATGGTGGTGTATATGGGGGTGACCGTAGACGCCCAGAGGAGAGAGATGGACCTCACAAAGATGATCCTGCCCCCACCGATTTTGTCCCAAATGCAGGGTACCATGCTTTGATAGAAGCTTTTGGTGGAAAGGGCTATCTTGTTGGGACACCTGATGAACTGAAGTCTGCTCTTTCAGAATCCTTCTCTGCTCGGAAACCAGCTGTAGTAAATGTTGTGATTGATCCCTATGCTGGTTCAGAGAGTGGGAGGATGCAGCACAAGAATTGATTCCCGTAGTTGCCAAATGCTCTACAGCATCCTTTCACTTCATTTACTTTTTGGTTTTAAATAACACTGAAATTGTACTCCTATAGCTTTTTATGCTTGAATTATCTGGTGCAGCATAGCCATCATCAAGTTTATTTTAAATTTCAACATAGTACATTCTCTGATACCCTCAAATTTATAAGGGTTTCACTGTTTCAGATTTCCAGTATCCTTCTCATGTGGATCAATAGTAATTTTACACACGTACCTTTGCCACCTCATTACTTGACATGGCTTTTCATTGTTTTATTTAAATTTTAAAAGGCTAAGAAACTATTAAACAATCCCAACGGTTAATTTCATAATTTCAACAGATTGACTTCCCTATTCTGTAAAATTTTGGAAAAATGTTGGATTCTGGTTGAAAGTTGAAACTACTTATTGAACCCCAAATCTTTTATTGAAACCAGACTTTGAACCGTAAATATTTCATTGAAACCATACTTTGAATCCTGAATCTTTGATTGGATCTCTGATCGAAACCTAAATCCACAGAAGGTGCAAGCAGGGGTCTCATGCTTAAAATGGAGTTGAATTAGCTGTCAGTTGTGTAGCCTCATCAAATACTTAACATTGGCATTTAACAGTGCTATTGTCAGTGCTTTTTACTTGGCAGTGAACCTGCTCACTTCTGCACATTATTGTCAACATACCTGCGTTTTGCTGAGGATTTGATTTGTTACAATTCTTATCTGCAATGCAAAGGTATTATTTATGGACCCTTTTCCTAATTATGATCTCCTTTTTGACAAATCCTATGATTGAGTTAGACTTTTCACCACTTGTAGGTATTTAATTGTCATATTTCATTAGATAATGTGAATATCATATACAATGTTAAACATCAATTTTTGCATATTTAACGAATTACAGCTAGAATCCGAATCCTGGCAAGAAATGAAAATCTAGATCAAAGCCTCAGTCTCTTTGGTAAATGAAAGAATAATGATCTGGCTACTATCTAGACCAAGAAACACCAAATGTAAGGAGAAACCAAACTATGTTATGCTATGACGACTCTTTTAAGTTCTAACAACCATAAATGTTTTCTCTAATATGCTGGAATATTGTGTGTGCGTGTGTGTACAGACGTTCCAGATTTTGTTAGCTAGTGGGCTTCAGATGAGCCATTACTGATGTATCTGCTGAGACAAATACAGGGACATCAATTAAGGTGGCAACATTGTCATGGAGCACATCAAGCCATGTTGAAGTGATGCTGATGGCTTAATTTTGACCGAGCAAATTAGACAGGCAAGGAATAGGAAGCAGATGCTTTCTCAAATGTTTGTGTTGGCCAATGGAATCCCCAGTATCTGCTGGCAGGTTAAGGATCCTATAGTTCTTTTTTATGCTTGTGGTATCTTTCATAAATTGCCCTGTATTATGCCAACAACATACAAACTAAATTAGGAACACGAAGGACAAGGCTTTTGCACTCTAGTTCTATCGCATGAGTTTTCCATTCTTGCTCCCTTTCAAAAAGGGTCAAAACACGAACAGAGAAGCCGAACACTGTTCTGGAAAGGCCACGGCAAAACAGTTCCAGAGTGTGGTGAGTAGGCTTCACGCGCTGAAAGCCTGTTGGCAGGAAAAAGTGCGTGTGGCAGTGTGTCAAAGGCCAGATGGAAGCAGTGCTCTGGGAACTGGCCGATATGGTATCAGCGAACTTGTTGGGATGGTGGTTGGGACTCCTAGGGCTGCCAGATCTGGACAGCCAATGGAATAGCTAGGGTTTTACAAATGCTTATCATGCCAACTGGTCGTGGGCTCTGATACCATTTAACCGTGCATTTTATAATGATTTTGTACATCATTAGTTTGAAGCCATAATAACTTTGCCAGGTGCTAGGATATGCAAAAGGAGCTGTGGCAGTTGTTATCTCCATTTTGATATTTTGGAATCCTGTATCAGTGATTAGAATGCTTGGCTATTCTCATTGTTATTGGATTTACTCTATCAGTAACTGGAATGCTTGGATATTTTCTTTTTGTTATTTGATTTACTCTGTATAGCGAAAGCCATGATTTGGAGTGGCTGAGATACTTGAGTCATGTAACCCAAGTTTAGCCACATCATAAATTACTAATGCAAATCCATTGGATTTGTTTCCGATGTAAAACAAAAACCTACCTTCCTTTGGAGCGCGGCTCGTCTGCAGGTTATGAAGTGCATTCAATGTTTGTTGTTTTTATATGTTGCTCTAACGCTTTGAGTTCTCTGTCTGTTATTAACGATGCTAAGTTTCCTAGCATTTTGATAGCATCACGTTTGAAATACCATTTCTTTTTTCACGTACAATGATGATTACGGATGATGTGACCCTTTGTTCATGTGCCAATTATTTGTCTCCTCTCAAGCATTACAGGATAACAGGAATGCTCAGTTTTTATATTGTTGTTTTATTCACTATATTCGACATTTGATGGATAGTAACTTGAGAGAACACATGTATAGGTCTCTCAATATAACAATTATGTTAATATGTTTGACGTGGTGAGAGTGTGTATAATCTATGTAATGTATCTAGTTCTTTCTTTCTTTCTTTCTGGCTATTTATTTATTTTATATATATTTTTTTATTTGAATGTATCTAGTTCTTTCTTTCTTTCTTTCTGGCTATTTATTTATTTTATATATATTTTTTTATTTGAATGTATCTAGTTATTTCTTAACTTGCCGAGGGATCCTGGGATCCAATGGTTAATTTTTAGGATATTTGATATTGCAAAGAGGCACAATTTTTGTGCTGCTGAGGTTAGTTCCATCCAACTCATACACCATGATTTTTGTACTTGGGGTGGGATCTTTGCCATGAAAAAAGGAGAATAACCTGCTACGCATTTTTTTTATGTAGACACGTGGCACGAAATTATCGTTTTTCTATTTTCTAATGGTAAGGTTAATTTGTGAATGCCGCCCCGGTAACAAATTATGTAACTATGAAGCATGAACCCATCAATGTCGTTAAATATAGGTACCGTCTCTCAGTCGATGTCATTCTACTTGCCATGAATTTGTAATTTTTACGCTAATTAATGGTTCATATTACCTTTTATTCTTTGTTCTAAAGTCAAATCAATGAATTTGGAATAGAAAGTTAATAATAAAAAAAAGAGACCTGGGTGTTGCGAGATTGTTAGAGTAACTAATAATATGTGCAAACATTTTTGGATTTTATGATAGGCCTCTAGTCAGATTGGCTCCTAATTTTGTTGAGCATGAGAAAAATAGAGACGCGGGGGCTACGAGATTGTTCAAATAATTAATTATATGTTCAACTTCAACATCAACTTTTGTATGTTATGATATGGCCTCTAATCAGATTGTCTCCTAGTTTTGTTTTAAGTAAGAGAAAATAGGTGGAGTCCCCCCATGATAATTCAACCAAAATCGTCCAAGACATTTCGCCAGTAAGATCCTTGAAAGGATCAATTGAGTCGTTATCATAACAGGCAAGCACTCTAGGAAAAGAATACTAAATATATATTTTTTATAATCTAAATTTACTTCTAAACCATCAATAATAATAGTGCAAATACAAACACCATTAGACAACAACAAACTAATCACTAAGATTAGCCTAATAGTTAGGTAAAAAAGAATTGAAATAATTAAAAACATGAGAACTTAAGTTCAATTTTCATTACAATTATCTTTATAATCTTTCTTATTTTAAAAAAAAAAAAGACAACGACAACAACTAAACTAGGAGTGAGCAACGGGTGGGTTTGGTCGGGTTCGGGTGAAAAATATCCAACCCATTGTAAACCGACTATGGGTCCTCTAATCTCATCCATTAGTTCTTTCAACATACTCAATACAATGTTCTTAAGGGTGAGTTCACACGTCATGCTTAAGTCTCTAATCTCCTCAATCAAATCCAATCCTTACATCAAAAATGATAGATGAATGATCTTCCTACTTAAGGCATTTGTCATCATATTAGGTTTAATTTTATAACCCTCTCCAAGGATTAGGCGCCTAAGTGTAAGTTCACTACGTACTCATACTCGGTCTTCAAGTCTTATCACTACATTTATACCCCAAGCAAACTCTTATCCACTACCTTGTCCTATAGCCTCATTCCTTGCCACCAAAATGAATCGACTACATTTTTTGCAACTTACAACACATTATCATCACATCAACACATATTCAACTCATCAACACATATGCATTGTCACACATTTCAACTTAGAGATCTCCTTAACAACAGAGCAGTATAAGTGCTATCTTATTCTACCAAAACCACTCCAACCGTTTTCACGTCCTATGCGCTCGCTCGATCACAGCAAACCAGAAGTTTTCACTTACACACTTAGAAGTTTGGTTCCACCGTCAAGTATAGCATAGCTAGGTACAGGCTTACCACGACCTTGACATGCATTACCAAGTCACTTGTAGAGTTCGCCAACTGACTATCCGCAAGAACCACACACCTTCCCCAATACTTAGTTAAGGGAATAACCATCGACCTCATACCTCACTCCAACACTAGCTAAGGACTTAGAGGAGACTCACCCAAACTAGTGGCCTATCCAAGCACCACTCTCAAGAGACTTTATGTGAGCTCTTCTACTTCGAAAACATTTTCCCTCTCCTCAAGTCCTAGTCTAGACATGTCATAAGGCATCACATGCAATAATGCATCATACATCATACGTGGTCAATCCATCATCATGATCAATATCATCCTCATATGAAAGTACATACCAAATCATGTTTAAATATTCATATATATCATTACCAAGCATACAAATGAATCAAATACCAATTTTCATCATATATCATACATATTTGAACCAATTATACACATATAAACAACTCCAACAACACGTAACATGTTCAACACATACTATTCCTCACCATACCACATCTCTACAACTTATTTAACATCATTTAACCATAATACAACTCAAACAACAAGCTTCCAACATATAACTCATCCATCATGTAAGCAACCAACTTAATCAGAAAATAATTTTATTAAACTAAGTCCTTATGCTTAGCGCAGAAACTCACGCTCAGCCTCAACCTTCCAGAGGCACAACTCAGCTATCATGCTAAGCGTAGAATCCCACACTCAGCGTCATCCTTCCAGAGGCATAACTCACTCTCACGCTAAGCATAGAATCTCACGCTTAGCCCCAAATTTTCAACAACACTCCCAAATTGTCACACTAAGCATGAAAACTCATGCTTAGCGTCCCAAACCCATAAAATTCATACCATCAGATGAATAACTCAAATCTTCAAATCCTCTCAACCCATGCAATGATCAAGCATGCAACCCAAAATACTTCAAGCATTAACATCATACAACTCAGAAAATCCAAGATGAACAACATGCATCCACAATAACTCCAGAAAATCATCACATTAATATTTTTTATCGGGTTTTTCGGGTTCGGTTCGGGTGTCGATTTAATGATCATCCCTAGACTAAACACTTAAAGCTGTACTACACTTATCTCTCACAAAGTGTCTAGGTGGGTGTATAATTTTATTTTTCTTTAAACATTAAATAAGTGGGAAAGTGAATATAAATAGTTTACAAGCGAGGCACGCAAAAATAGTACAGTAAAATTTAATAAAAAGGCAAATGCAATTTAATTGGAGGGTTGAAGCCTGAACCTCTCTTCAGTGCCTCTGACAGTGCCGTACGGTACATTTTTGCTCGTTGACAATTCAAACCCTAGGGTAAAAAAATGGCGGGAAAATTTGGTGCCATGAGAACATTGGGCGCCCTTTCTCTTCCTCTTCCTCCACCTCTATATAAACCCTTCCCTCCATTTCTATCCCCATCGTCAATCTTTTCCGTTTACCGCAGAGTTTGCATAATGGCCCAACCCCAATCGGAGTCCCACGCCAATAACGGCTCCTGCGAGCCACTGCTCAAAATCCCCAAACTCTACCAAAACGACGACGTTTCCGCAACCGCTCCCTTTCTCCGCGTGAAGAAGCTCTCCGACAAGGCCGTTTTGCCTTCTAGGGCTTCCCCTCTCTCCGCCGGTTACGATCTCTCTAGGTATCAAAATAACCCTCTCATTCACTACGTTTATTTAATGAAAAATTAAAAAAAAATGATTTAATGTTTTTTTATTTGTAGTGCGGTGGAGACGAAGGTGCCGGCGAGAGGGAAGGCTCTGGTGGCCACTGATATCAGCATCGCCATTCCCGAAGGAACCTATGCTCGCGTTGGTAATTTTTCTCTCCGAATTTAGGGCTTTCGGTTTTCACTAATTTCAGTGATTTTTTAAAAAATTGAATTGATTTGTTTGAGTTAATTTGCAGCGCCACGATCGGGGTTAGCGTGGAAGCACTCGATCGACGTGGGTGCAGGTGTGATTGACGCGGATTACAGGGGACCGGTTGGGGTGATACTGTTCAACCATTCGGACGTGGATTTCGAGGTGAAGGTTGGGGATAGGGTTGCGCAGCTCATCATTGAGAAGATTGTGACCCCTAATGTTTCGGAGGTGGAGGATTTGGATGAAACTGTGAGGGGGGAAGGTGGGTTTGGATCCACTGGTGTTTGATTTGTTGTGTTCTGCTGGTGATTTTGTAGAGCAGTTGGTGGAGGAGTGAACGAGTGAACCCATTATCTATGGATCTTACCAAACTCTACTGTATGCTAGTGTCTTGTGTACTCCAGTTATGGTAATGGTATAATGAGCGATTTGAATTTCGATGTAGAAAAGTAAACTCTCGCCAAAATTTAAGATCTTAGTATTATTAAGTAATACATGCTTTCAAAATTAGATTTTTTTTTGTTAAAAATATTAATGTTTTTTCACAAAAATTTAATATTTTTTTTATATTCGTCTATGGAGTATTTATTGTCGATAGCAGTGATTAATCTCTCAAGATTTATTACGGTTGAATACACAAGGCAGGATTTGAATTCTTGATCTTGTTTAACTTTTACTGCTAGTTTGGGGTTACAAAAATTTAACACACTATAAATAATTTTTAATGTAGTTTTTTTTTGTTATTAATTTCTTATTGAGTGTCTAAAATATATTCATTAGTAATATTTTGTGCATTTTAATATATGAATTTGTTAGGGTTTGAGGTCAAATGTGGTCGATTTGTAAGAATGATGATATAGAGATTATGAATGGAATGAAATGATTAAATGAAGTAATTTTATTATTGTATGTGTAGAGTTTATTCATTGCAAGTGTCTTAAAAGAATACGTTAACTCACTATCAAGGAAAAATACACGTTAACAATTTTTTTTTTGTTAAGAATAAATTTTGGAAATGAATAAAAGAGGGAACTTATTTTAGATTGACTTTGTATTTTTTAATTTATTTTTAAATAAGTAAGAACAAGATTATGAAACTTTTGTAAGGTATTTTTGGTTTCTATTAAATCACTTCTCAATTTTGTAAGGTATTTTGATGTTTACCCTATTGATATGTTATTAGAAAAAGGAAATTTATAAGTTTGTTTTATTTTCTTTTTATTTTTATCAAATCAAGAAAAATATTAGTCTTTTTTATCATTTTTTATTTTCTTTACCTTAGTCTCCTCTAAACTTATGTATCACTTTTTAGAAGATAATAAAATTATTATAATTATAGGTATATTATGTAAGAATATATATATTTTTAACTATTAATATAGATTTGGGGTTTTTTAAACATAAGAATTTAGGTTCAATTCTCATTATGATCATTTTTGTAATCTTTCTTATTTTTACAAAAAAAAAAAAAACTTATGTAAGTGTCACTTTTTAGAAAGCAATGAAATTATTATAATTATAGGTATATTATGTAAGAACATATATATCTTTAACTATTAATAAAGACTTGAGATTTTTTTCTTACATATTTTAATTTTATTTTTAAATTACTCCTTTTTAAATTATAATTTACTCTCACCTTTTAAATAATTATTCCTCTACTATTTCCATTTAATCTTAATTTATTTTAAACAAGAGAGGCATACTTTCAAATGTTTTTTTTTTGTTTTATTTTTTTAACTATAGAAATACAGAGCAGTTTTTTTCAACTAGTTATTTATAATAATTTTTAGTAAAGCAATGTGAGATAAAGCTTTATCAACTAAATTAGAGCATTTTTAATATTTTGTTTTCATAATTAGTTTTCTCAGACTAGTTTTTTTATAACATGTTACTTTTTTTAAATCGACTAATTTTCTAACTTATGCTTAATAAAAATACAATATAATTTGTGACTTGTGTGTTTACTATTAGATATAGTAAATGTATCTTTCATGAGCATATTATGAGTTTAGAATGTTCTTTATCTCTTTTGTTTCGACTATGTTTGCCATGACAACATTTTTCTTCTTTAGTGTACTCCATGACAGTCAAATCAATATTATTAGACGATGGTTCGATTCATTTTTCTCTGTTCATTTTAGACAGAACAATGGTGTTTGAGTATGCCCAAAAACAAGTGATTTACATTCATCATTAGGAGGCTCAACATCTATGATATAGCCGATTAGAGACTATTATTGAAATGTAATTAAAGTCTTACATCATTCAAATAAGATGATGGATATTAATTTATATACACACGTTTGTTTTCATTAGTAGAGAGATCTTTTGAGTGGTATCTAAAAATAAAACAATGTAAGACCTATAATATATTTTACATAAATACGTGTGATTTATTCTGCACAAATATGTGTTTTGATGATAAATATTTCGTATTAATATCATGATTTTAAAAATATAAAAAAACTTAAAATATGTATTAAGGTTAAGAAGCTATTACATCATTATCAATACAAATATTCTCTAGCAACATCACTTAATAATTATATTTTTAATTTAAAAGAAAGCATAATTGTTGAGTGTGAAAATGTCATTATTTAACCTAGCCTTAAATTCATTAGAATAATTAACGTGTACTCTATTTTAATTATTTTGACGAAAGAGAAATGTAGCTATTTAATACATTGTTAAAGTAATTTTTGTATTATTAGTTAAAATATATTGATAAACATAATTTTTTTTACTGAATCTCATATTTTATTTAATAATATTTTTCTTGATTTTGTATTTTTAATAGGTTTTAATCAATATTAAAATATGTGTCAGAGAAAAAGTGTGGTAGAAAATGTGTAGCCCTTTTCGGTTGTGGAAATAAGTAATTTTCAATTTTAAAAATTATTATTTCTTCTTAAATCTAAATTATTATTATTATTATTATAAGTTTTTACTTATTTGAATTAATTATGTATATTTATTTTTATAATTTTATGTTCTCGCATTTTATATTTTAATCTTATATTAATTTTTTCTATTAGTATCTAAAACCTCAACCTTATACAAACATTTTAAATTAACTCTCAGCCTTATTATTTTCATTACTCCCCTTTCAATAATGTTTTTTATGTTTCTACTTTTCAATAACAAATAACAAAGTACAGTTTATTTATGAACATTATATTGTGATCCTTCCTTAAAAACTCCTAAAGCCATTGAAACTATCATTTAGCTGCAATCGATAATCATTAAAAGTTAACTTTCAGTGACACATTAACTATCTCATTATAGTATGCTCCGTCCAATGGCATTATTGTTTAAATATATATATATATATATATATATATATATATATATATAATTAGAAATTATGTTTAGTATGATATTATTATAAAACCAATAAATTTATTTTATATTTAATAATTTATAATTGTATGATAATTGCAAGTGTAAATTTTATTTTCTCTTGAATTGGAGTGGACAAATAATGATGAAATTTACGAGTGATTGAAAGAAAAAAAATATAGATTAAAAATCTAAAATAAGTTGTATTATTATTTTTTAATTACAAAAAAAAAAATCTATTATTGGAGATGTTTTGTGGGAGTAACTTTAAAAGAATAATTGTGTTTAGAAGACGAGTTGAATTAGTAATTGGAATTAATGAAGGTAGAGACGTAGAGTAGAGTGGGGTGTTCAAAAGGTTAGGGATCAATAATCAACTAAGCTCGTGAATATGTAGGCAATTAGAAGAAATCCTTTTCGTCAAATACTTCTTGTAGCCGTGCGCAAAAAGCAAAGATTCTGCTCCTGTTGAACTTAGGCCATCAAATTAATTATTTTAAATGCATAAAATAAAAAGTTTTGAGGGGTTAATTTTGAAATAGCAATCCAATTTTGAATAGAATGCACATAAAAACAGATGGTGGTAAAATTGTGTCCATGTGAGTGAGTGTAAACATTCTGGTTCACAGCCCAAATACCAACAATCAAGAATCCTAGCAGCGCATATAGCCGTTGCTCATTTTTTTAACCACATAATACAAATAGCTGCCAACTTTCTAGGTTTATTCTTTGTTTATCCAGACGAATTTAGCCGTTATTGTTACACAAATTTGAATCCTGAGACTTGAGAGAGAGGACAAACAGAAAATGTTACGTTGGAGATACCCATCTGGCATTTGCAGTCAAGATCCAAATTGTTTTCCACATTATTTACTTTTTTTCAAAAGAAAATTAAGTGAATCAGTGGGGTCATCTGGTCAAACAAGAACACAACATAACTCTCCCTTTGTCAAAATTTGAATTTTTTCCTCTCTCTCACATTAAAGTTAATAATAATATAATATAATATAGTATTTTATTTTAAAAACAATGTTCTCGGATAACGGTCCCTTTCCACAAAGCAGAACCTTTCTTTTGCTTTCTCTTATCTAATCTAATTGAAATTCAAATCTCCTTAAACCCCTTTTCAATTTCTCTCTACTCTTTCCTTCCTTCCTTCCATTTCTTCAACTATCGTTCTCTTTGTCATTTACCACCCTATCAATGGGTACATGTTTTAGCAAGAAGAATGTGTCCTCTACCTCACCCAACAAGTCAGTTTCTCAGCATAGAAACTCTCAGAACAGTGTCACTGTCAGCTTGTCCAAACCCTCTGAGCCAGAAGTGAGCCTCAAGAACAAGACAGTGCAAGAGAAACAGCCAGCACCACAAAATGAAGGTGATGAAGTGAACAAAGAGGTATTCATCATCAAACACAGAAAGAGCCATGATGACAGGGAAAGAACCAAAACCCCACCTTGCATTGATGGGGTTGTCACCAATGAAGAGCCAATAGGTAACAACAAGATTGCACCTTCCACACCATTGAATGTTGGGGTGAGGACTTCAAGCTGCACCAAAGAAGAGGTTGATGCAATTCTAATCCAGTGTGGGAGGCTCAGCAGAAGCTCTTCCACCAGAAAGTACTCAGGCTCAAAGAGAAGTTTTGATTTTGACAATGACAATGACACAACTTCTGCTGAGGATGGCCAGAGAAAAGGCAATGGCAGTGATGAAAATGATGTGGCGGCGGCGGCGGCTTCCGAG